AGTGGTTTGTAGTAAAACTTTGGGATCGTTGACATGCGTTTATCACATCCTTTCAATTCATAAATATTTGCTTTTTTTTTTTTTTCCTTTTGGTTAAATGCTTTTCTTTTAAATTGGTGTAAAATTTTAGTTATCGAGTATATGGAAGGTGGTGAAATACAATGGAAAGACGAAAATGATCGTCCTGTTATGAGTGTTGATGAAGCAAGACGGATATTTAGAGATGTAGTGTTGGGTTTGGAATATCGTGAGTAATAGGCAAGATAAATTTAGTACAATTATTTTATTGAATCTTATTAAATACACTATTACCATTTTACAGTCCATCATCAAGGCATTATACATCGAGATATAAAACCTGCCAACTTATTACTTACCGCCGATAATGTTGTAAAAATCTCGGATTTTGGTGTATCACATTTTAGTCAACGTGCTGCCGCAGTCGAGTTGCAAGGAAATAATAATTCTGCACCTACTCAAGAAGATATGGACTTAATTAAAACTGCCGGAAGTCCCGCGTTTTTTGCTCCCGAACTGTGTTTTCCCGGTAAGTTCTTTCTAATTTTTTTAAACAAAATGCGCTTTTTTTTTTGGGTTGTTTTTAAACTGTTTATTTATTCAGGAGATTTGTCACGGGAGATAATTTCTAATTCGATAGTAACTGGTAATTCTGGTAATTCTTCTGAATCGCTTTTGAAATCCCATTCAACTACCAATTCTATATCAGTACGAGGACAACGACCTCCTATTACCAAAGCTATCGATGTCTGGGCCCTTGGTGTTACACTATATTGCTTCATTTTCGGAAGATGTCCTTTCATAGCAGATACGGAATTTGAATTATTTTTTCATGTTATACCTAGGCAACCATTGGAATTTCCCGAGGATATACCTATTTCAGACAGTTTAAAAGATTTACTTACAAGTTTATTGGAAAAAGATCCACAAAAAAGAATCACTCTAGGGGAAGTCAAAGTCAGTATATACATAAAATTGACTTAAAAATGATTTGGTCTCCTGATAATAAATGTAACTGAATTATTTAATGGATTTTAGAAACATCCATGGATAATCGCTGATCTTCCAAATCCACAGAAATGGCGAGATGATACCGATCCAAGGAAGTATCAGGCGCTTACGGTTACGGATGAGGAAGTTAAAAGCGCCTACACATTGATAGTATGATTTCTTTTTTCATTTTGAGGTACTGTTGGTGTGACATAAGCGTTACTAATAATAATCTTAATAGGATCGGTTAAAAAAGAAAATTCGTAAAATTTCATTGTCATTAGTAGGAATGTTACGGTCTGGCAAAGATCATGATCTGAATCAGTCTTTTGAACCAGTTCAAGTGGTTCCCAGTCCATAAATTAAGACCGGTTTTAATAAGTCGGTCCATAGTAAGGATACTAAATATATGATATCAAAATTCAATGAATAAACCTATATCGATATTTATGTTTGAATATATATATATGTGATAGCATTTACATTTTAAGATCTGTTCTTAACAATTTATCAAAATTGTTTAAACTATGAAATAATATATTAAAAAAAATTCTTACGCGAGACTGCCTGATATTGACAATAATTTTTCTATAGTTTTCAACAAAAATTGTATTATGGTTGATATCTTGTACGTACGTAATTCGTGATCCGCATAAGAACTAATAGTAACAAATGGGGAATTTGCTATTGTTTTTTGCCTTTTTTGGGAATGTCTAAAGTGGGGCAACTTATATAAGTTAGTATATAATTTTAATTAACTTTAATTTTAGGGCTACTTTAGATTAGGGTTAGCGGTGTTTATGCAAGTAAAATTGCCCCCTCAACTACTACTTAACTTTAATTAATGCTCCGAGGTGGTTCGGACTGCGTGTTTGTTTTTGTCTTTACGTTTTTCTTAAATCCTAACACTAACCAGATTAAAGCAAGTTATAAATATATTAGAGTTATCATTCATTGCCAGTGCGATGTATCGCTACCCTGATCGACCAATCAAAATGCAGGATCAGGTGTAACGTGAAGATCGATTTTTTTAGTTTGCTTCCTGATGGATCGTCGAAAAAAAAATCGGATAGAGTTCTAAAAAAGGGCCTCTAAAAATACTACTATAATGAAAAAAGTTAGGATTAGGATTCGTTTTTAGGACCCTATCAGGAACAGTATATCAAAGTAAAAAACCCTGTGAGAAAACTTCATCAACCAGACTTGTAGAGAGGTTGAATATCGTCTTGAAGTATTGTTTGTATGAATATTCTGTATTCGAGCTACATACATATTACTATACATGTTTGTTATCATTTATCCAATTTGAAAAATAAACAATGCTGACTATTTTGGTTCATGTGATATTGATCTTTTAGAGAAGGCAAGTGAAAATACCCACTTTTTACAAAAATTTTCTCGAAAAAAAGTAGTGGGCCAATGAAGAAATGGATATTTTATAGAATAGGTGGCCAAAATAAGAAATAAGCTTTGCTAATAATTAGTAATCATTAATTTTTTAATAACGGAATTGCGAAATTTGTGGAGTTTGCCTATCTATTCTATAGAACATCTGAAAAAATAGAAGATTTTTCTGTAAGTTTATAGTTGTATATATATTTATACAGACTTTTACTATTTTAGAGAACTTGTTTCCAGAATAAACCTTCTGGTTTGGATGTCAAATATCTTGAGAAATCTACTGAAACTAAATAGCTTGACCCCAAGAAAAACTACTTTTATTATATCTGCTTCTTAGTATTTCACGTCTTCAAGTTTTGGTAATAACAATTTATTCTAAATAGACTTGTTTTCAGAATAACTTTTCTGATTTGGATACCAAATATCCTAGGGAATCCATCAAAAAAGCAAATATTTATGAATTGAAAGGATGTGATAAACGCATGTCAACGATCCCAAAGTTTTACTACAAACCACT